TACGTTTTTCCGATAAGGTTTTTCCCCCTCACTCCCACTCGAATGGGAAACTTATTTTAAATTCAGCACACAGGCCAAGAGAAAGCTGTCGCCGTTGCTGTTGCTGTGGCTGTCAGCTTGTTGCTCTCTTGGCCAAGAAGTGCGTGTCTTTAAACCCCTACGATGCCCAGAACTTTGGCGTGGATGCTGGCGAACCGTTGAGCTATGAAATATGCACAGACCACCACGAGTGCAACTTGCCCAAGAGCAAGTTTATTGGGCAAGTTTCGGGCCCAGAGCCAGGGATAGAACTAGAACTTGGCTGCTTATTAAATGTCCCACGTGGGGTGGGATCACAGGTAAAACCACGCCCCGTTTTACTGCCTGTACGTGTGCCGGGCCGTTGAGGAGGCTCTTATCAACCATTTGGCCACAGCCTTGGGGGGTACAGAGAAAGAGAGAGAGGAAAAAGGATTTCATTCATTTCATTCCCACAAACGAAAGGAGCTTTATAAGAAGTTGATTTTGTCTGCTGGAATTTCTATTTGTTTCATAGCCCCAAATTGAAAGAGGGAGAACAGATGGAGAAACGGAGAAACGGAGAATAAAAGCGACTGAGAATGGGCATGCGAATGAGTGAAAGAGAGAGAGAGAGAGAGAGAGAGAGAGGGGTTAAGGCAAACAAAAAAAGGAAATAAAACCAATTGAAAAATTTATTTGCTTTCATAAATGAAATTGAAAATGATTTTTTGCGAATCCGAGTGTGTGTGTGTGTGTGTGTGGGGGCAGGGCTTTCATTTTCCATTTTTACTTACGCTCCACTTGCCCCAATATTTTCAGTGGCAGGGGCAATCTAATTGTTGGCAACAGCAGCAACAGTAACAGCAACAGCAACAGCAACGATATGTGTAATATTTATGGTTTTCCCTTCCGTTGGGAAATACAAACACACAAATGCGAGAGCTAATGGAAAGCCGGTGAAAATGTGCGCACAGCGGTGTATGTTTTGTTGGATGATTACGAGTGAGATGAGGATGCGCTTTGTTCTGTGGATGCATGGGTAATATAATACTTTTAAGCTTCCACTTCTAAAAGTTAGCCAAATGGAAGCCTTAATAGCACTAGAAAGTTGTTCAAAAATATTTGGAAAATATTTATTAACCAAAAAAAAGGGATTGAATGCACACAAATATGCTTCAAAAGTGTGTGCATGCTTTAATCTCTGTAAAATAATCTCCGTATTCGCTGTATCTATATCTATAAATAGGTGCAACAAACAATTTCCGAATGAGTTTTTATTTAAAACCCTAAAAGCCGCTGCTGCCCTGCTAAAAGATTGCCTTTCTAACATAATAAATTGAATATTTCATTCGTTTGCCATTTCCCCTCCCCACCGAGAGCATTTCACTGAGTGAGAGCTTTTCTTTTCGCTTGCAATAATTTCCAAGAAACGGTAATGATATTATATCACAATGGAAATACAACACACCTGCGGAAACCCACTTACCCGCCGGCTTGCTGCCCGCTTTTTCTGCTTTCCCTTATCCCTTATCCCCTTGCCATTGTGACAACTTGAAGGTGAATTTTCTCTCTGGCTGAGCTTTGACTTTAAAAACCAAAGTCAACTGGGCGCCAGCGGGGTAGTCGGGGACAGGAGTCGCTTCGACATCAATTCTCCAAACGAAACATAAAACTTTTTCCTATGAATGAGGGGGGCAGTTGGAGAGGGGAAGGTCGCGCAGAAGCCTCTTAACCAACAACCGATATCAGTATAATATAACAACATAACTTTCTCAACTTTATGGGCAGAGAGCGCCGATTGCTGTTGTCATTTCACTTGGCGGCTTCCGTCGTTAATGTGGCTGCTGCTGCTGCTGCTGCTGCTGTTGCTTCAGCTTCTGTTTTTCCTGCTGCTGCTGCTTCTATTTTTCCTGCTGCTGCTTCTATTTTTCCTGCTGCTGCTGCCTCTGTGGGTGGAAAAGTTGAACAAGTTTTGGAGCGCGGTTTATCGAAAAATGAAAAAGAAACCAAACACAAAACACAACTTTTGTCTTTTTGATTTCGTTGGCAAAACACACACACACACAGACAGAAACGAAACGAACCTCGTAGCGAAACTTGAAGTTGGGTTTTCTTTTGACTGAAAAGTTGTTGTCGATTTATTGTGGTTTCTCTCTCTCTCTCTCTGTTGGCCCTCTGCTGGTAGATGTTGTGGCTGGTCTGGATTTGGCGGGTCTAAACTAAAGCTCTGGCTATATGGCATGGATTTACAGGTCGTCCTTCGTCAGTTGTTTGCCATCAGCTCATCAATGGATGCACTTTCACGGATTATAATTAATTATATTTGCATTCTCATTAGCCAGATCAGCGCGGGGCCATCCAGCACAGCAGCATTGTCAGTGTCAACACTTGGCGGGACTGAAATAATGAACGATGATTTTTCATGGGTGACAGTTTAGCTGAAATCCAATACACACACAGATGTGTCTGCTGTGCTCCATATGGCTCATTGCCTGATTTGATTGATCCAACTGGTGACACCTCCCCTGGGGGGTGGCGAGGGGAGAGGTGAGGCTGAACACTATGGGTGTTTTTCGAGCCCGAACGCCCAGCTGTGTCGCGCATTTGTCTAAAATGTCAAATATAAATATTTGCTTGGTTCTTGTTTGAATTTGGTTTTCGGGGGCTTCCAATAAACAGAGACAGAGAGAGAGAGAGGAGAATCGGGAAGAGCGTAGAGCAGCGTAGAGCAGCGTAGAGGAGCGTGCAACGGATGTGGTTGTGTCACGTTTGCCTATTTGCATAGCCAGGAGACAGCAGACGGCAGGCAGCAGGCAGAGGCAGAGGCACACAACAGTCACACACGCACTGCCCTTTATATGTATATGTATGTATGTATATAGACAATTGTCAGGCACTGTGTTTGCACTTTTGGCCTGCCCGAAAACGTTTGGGGTTTCCATTAATTACATTGTCAATAGATGGGAATGGCAATGGCAATGCCAAATCCTGTTTGTGCTCCTAATGAAGCGCAGGCGAGGGCGATGGGGCGATGGGGCGTATGTGTGGGTTGTCCTGATATTGATAGGGGTCTTAAAATGTACTCAGGCTGTAGCCTCCGAGCAAACAATAACTTCTAATCACACAGAGAAAGGGTCGGTTAGGTAGAGAGAGATTAAGTGTTATGCTCTCATTGAAATATAAATATTTTATGGCACCCAAAAGGGTTGCGTTGCTGCTGCTTTCGTTTAATTGGTAAAACATTGATTTACCCAAAAAAAAAAATGAATAAATAATATTTTTGTTGGCAGCAAAGCCACAGCGTCACAGCGCCACAGCGCCACTCGTGCGTATACGTAATGGTGCCATAAATGCAAACCCCAATGCACAGGAAACCCCCCTACATCCCATATGCCCGTTACAAATCCTTCAAAAAATCCAACTTAAGCGCCACACAAACAACACAATATACGAGTGCCAAATATATACATATATAGAGAGAGAGAGTGAGAGAGAGGGGGCTGCTGGGCGGGGTAGGACATACATTAACGTATCAATGGCTTAGAGCAAAAGTACAGTCGCACTCGTATAAATAACTCTCTCTCTCTCTCTCTCTGTGGCTGCTCTCTCTTACTGTCTTTGTGGGTACGTGTTCGAATGCCAGTTTATTGGCGGGGCTTAAGGTATCTCTGCAAGTGCCAGTTACAGTGGCTGTCACACTGTATTTGATGAATAATAACTTTCAAGTGAATAAACTGCCGCCTGGCTAGCTTTTCACACGGAAAATGCACGAAAATAAAGAGAGAGATATTTAAAGGAAAAGCAAAAGGCCATAAGTGAGGATTTCCCTGCAACCTGCAAGCCCCAAATGTTCTCTTTTCAAAGCACTTTCCATTCAGGAAAAGCGTTTCCAAAGTGTTTTCAATTGCCAGAACTGCGTTCCTACAAATTGAGTGCAAATTTCAGCGTTAGAATAGTGAGCAATCCAAAGCGGGGGGCAGAGCCAGAGTCCGTTTAATCTGTGGTGCAATTTGGAAAAACATATTTGCAGCAGCCGCATCCACTCGTGCTGTGAACTAAGCGCCCACAGCGTGACCAAAATGTTGTGCTCAGCTCATGAACTCCAAATGGCCTCGAACCTACCACCTACCACCTACCCTACCCTGCCCTCAAGCCGAGCACTAATCTAGTACCAGTGCCCTGTGTCGACCGTGACCCCCGAACCGAACCGAACTGTAAATGGAGTTGCGCGGCGCCCAATGGCGAAAAGGACACACAAATTGCGTATACGCAACGCTGACTAAGGCCTGGGAGCAGGGCCACCAAAATGAATTTCTGGGGCGCATTAAAAATCTGTTTCGGATGCCAAAATGTGGAAAACATAATGGCGAATCAATATAGCCAGCCAGCCAGCCAGAGTGGGTGGCATGGGTGTGCATGCTGTGGCCAGGGCTTATTGAGGCTCCTACACTCGTGTGCCTGTATGTGGCCGTGTGCCGAGTGTTTGTGGTTAAATGCCTGTGGATGGATTTGCCGCTGTCGCAATGACCAAGCCACTCGCTCTCTCCCCACCTCACACCTCCCGTAATTGATGGCCTTTTGAATGGCAATTGAAGTGCAAAGATTAAACCCATTGCTGGGACCCTCATAAAAAAACACCACAAAATCACAGAATAAACTATTAATGATCCAATATTGTGGATATAGATGTGTTCTCCCCTGAAGCTTCTTTCAGCTGTCGTTGAAGGTCTGAAAGTGTATTCGCGGTTTCATTATGCACGCGTGAAACTTCCGTGTCCCGTGTCCTGTGTCCCGCACAGGCAAGCGATGGTGGGTGGCCTGCAGCTGAGTTATGGTTTTAATTGGTTTGATTAGCCTCACAGCTGTGGCAGAGCTCCAGCTCTATTTATGCATGTGCCCCCGCAGATTTATCGTGGGCAGAACTTTGGCTTACAGTTGAAGAGGAAGGGAGAGCTCTGCTCTCGGATTAGCCGTTAAATTTTGGATTACGAAGCTTTCGTTACGATCTGCAGTTGCTGTTCAAAACCCTCGACATGAGGGTCGCACTCTTGGGAGTTTTCCTGCCCCTAGCACTGGAAACGGCTGTGAGCAGCAGTCTGAACGAGACAGCCAAGTGTGAGAGTGCGCCAACGCTGACGGGACCGTGTACGAACTATACAAAGAAGTGGTACTATGCCAGCCTCTACAGGGAGTGCATCATGTTCGACTATGGCGGCTGCGGGCAAACGAATAATTTATTCGACTCGGAAGAGCACTGTGAATCCCTATGCCTGGGCATGGGTCCCCATGGATGGTAAGCAAAGCAGTAGGCTGCGCCTTAGAACTTGCCTTGCTGATCATCAACAACAAACCGAAATAAAACAATCATGAATTCGTCTATTTGGCTGTGTCTTTGGCTGCTGCTCTTCTTCGCTCTGTCTGGGATGGTCTGGGCCTACAATGCAAGTAAGTTGGCCCAGCAAGGGTCCAATTTGGATGAAGTACTGAAGCTGCTGCCATATGATACCATCGTGTTGCTCCCCTAGAGAAGTGCGATGATGTACAGACCGAGACGGGGACGTGCAATTTGGAACTGGAGATGTTTCGCTTCGACAATGTCAACCGGCAGTGCGAGTCCTTCATCTACGGCGGCTGTGGCGCCACCAATAACTTCTTTGAGTCCGGCATGGACTGCGTTCTGAACTGCCTGGAACATCACGAGTTCTAAATTTAAATACAAATATTTATTGCCCGTTGATGGCTGCTGTCTGTCTGATGTCTGTAATCCAAGCCGCTCGGCAAAAAAAAAAAAATATATAAAAAGTTTCCCTCAGCTATTTGCAATTTAACAAAAAAGTTGCAGGCGTTAAGTGGGAGTGGGGAGCGGGTATGGGAGGGGCGGAAAAGTTTGACCGTGGAAAATTTGATTTGTCTGCAAAGTTAAAATAGATTTTCCACCCAAGCAATTTATGTGAATATTTTTCAGCGGCTGCCCTGCAAAATGAACTGCTGCAGTCTCCGCTCGCGCTGAGTTCTTTGGCGGAAAACTAAATAGGGGCTAGTGCTACCAGTAGGTACGATTATCATCGATTGGAATTTCTGTCACTTGCCATGCAGTTTTCATGTGTGGCACGGCATGGCACGGCACACGGCGTATACTTAATCATTGGCACCTCTCACGGGGCAGTGGGAGTGGCAATTGCGGCACTCATGTGTGACCATATCGATGCGGATCGAATGGCATTGCCCACGCCCCCCTCCGCCCAATTCAATCAGCAAAAAGCAGCAGCGGCACAGAAGCAGTAGCGATGCCCCCACTCGGGCTGCTAGCTGGCTGGCTGGCTGGCTGGCTGCTTACTTATTATGCAGGTCCCAACACAAATTAAAACTCTGCAATGCACACAACACTAGTAGCATAGAAATCAACAAAGGGAAAAATAATGAGAGGCAAGCAGAAGCTGTAGATGCCCTACACATTATATCTGGGCTAGCTACGACTGTAGATCTGCTCTGCTTTAGAGTCGCTTCCCTCCCTGGGCTTACAAAACTCTCTATAGAGTCGTTATACCCCCACTGCGGAAGTGTGCGCAAATAACAAGCTGTTATTGTGTGCTGTGTGCTGTGCGCTGTGTTCATTGTTCGTTATTAGATTTCCACGACAAGAGACAAAGTTCACTTGTCGCCTACATCAGATGTGTTGGCAACCCGATGTCTGTCGCCGTTCCTGCCACACATTCCCCTCTATGTGTGTGTGTGTGTGTGGGTGTCGCGTGTTTCGTGTGCGTGTGTCGTGGGGGGAATTAAATTCATTAGCAATTTGCACGCCAGCAAGCGGGTGAAAAGTGCAGCACCCAACAACAGACGTGCAAAAACAACGGGTGACAGCCACAGAGTCAGAGGCACAGGCAGAGGAAGGAGATAGAAGCGATTTTTAGATGCGAATCTTTTACTAAACAGATGCCAGAATGAAGGATATCCTGAGGAGTGGAAATGCTAGAAAATTCAGTGGAAAAGGCAACCCCCAAGCTAGTAAATCGCGACAAAGATATTTTCTTTGATTTTTTCAATGATTTCTTTAGCCAAAAGCCCCAAGAGCTCCCAATCAAATACTAGAGAATTAGACTGGAAATATTTAATTACTCCGTCTAAATGTTTATCCATTCCATGGTCCAAAGTCATCATCATCATCATCCGTAGTCGAAGAGTATTCCCTCCGAGTCCAACTAACGCTTGAATGCCGTGTGTGTGTTGCAATTGTGGGTGCCCATCAACAGGGTCCTGTAGCTCTTGTGCATGTCCATTTGGAGGCCATAGGGCACGGGATAGACAATGGGCTTGCGCTCCTCATGCCACGCAGGTGGCAACATCAAAGCACCAAACGATTTGTCCAACTTGACGCCGCACTTGCCCTGATACTGGCGGAACCGCTCCGGCTTGGGCATTTTGCCATGCGGATCACGGTAGTAGTCGCGATAGTCCTGGCAGTCCAAATAGTACCGATCAATGCGATCGATGGCGCCGTAGTCCACCAGCTTGAGGCCAGGCAGCACATAGCCCACGATCGCGCGACGCTGAACGCGACTGTTCTTCGACACCGACAGCATATCCACCTCCGGGATAATCATGTTGCTTGTGTTTAAAGCTTAATGTGTATTTGTATTTTGTATTTGTATTTTGTATTTGTATTTTGTATTTGTTTTTGTGTGTAAATTTTCCAACGTGGAAACAGATGTGTGCCCTACGAGTTTGGCAAGTTGAATGAGATTTGAGAGAGGCATTTGCATTGTGGCATTTCCTTGTAAATCAAGACCTACTTTAGCCTGGAAGCTACACAACCTGCAACCAAAAATAAGTCAAATAATATAGTAAAAAGCCAACTGATCAATAAGGTTTAAAGTAGCCTAAAAACAAAAAATAAATATGAATAAAATAAAGTAAACATTTTTTATAATATATTTTTGTAGACTAGAATTCTTTTTATTTTTTGTTTAAATTTTTATATATAATCCATAAACCATTTTCCAACATGATAACCGTTAACCGCAATAATTAGTAGTTCCGTTAGTTCCGTTCGGTAGTCCTATCGCTTGAATGCCGCGTGTGATATGGGATTATAGGTGCCCCTCAGCAGTGTCCTGTAGCTCTGGTGCGAGTCCATGGGCTGGCCGTATTCAGCGGGATAGACAATGGGCTTGCGCTCGACTGGACATGTGGGGGGCAGCAACATATCCCCAAGCGATCTGTCCGACTTGGCGCCACACTTGCCCTGGTAGTGACGGAACCGCTCCGGCTTGGGCATTTTGCCATACGGATCGCGATAGTAGTCGCGATACTTCTGGCAGTCCAAATAGTACTGATCAATGCGATCCACATCGCTGTAGTCGACGATGTTGAGTCCGGGAATCACATAGCCCAAAATCAGGTTACGCTGAACGCGACTGTTCTTGGAGACCGCCAACATATCCACTTGGGGGATACTCATCTTGATTGTGATTGTCGATTATCGATGGAACAAAATATATATATATATATAGTGATATTTAAGTATTGTTTGTGGATCGAGTGTTAGCTCCATGAGTTTCGGAATTAGAATGAGATTTGACGTGGGCGGAGTGTCAGTCTAAGACATTAAGTCAGGGCTTACTGGAGCTCCAAAAATAAACTCCAGATCAAGGAGAAAAATTGAATATATTTATTTATAAATGTATTATTATTATTTATTATTATTATTTATATTTATTATTATTATTTATATTTATTTTTATTATTTATTATTATTATTTATATTTATTATTATGTATTATTATTATTTATTATTATTACTTATTATTTTATTTATATTTTTATTTAATTTTCCACTGCCTTTCCATTGCCCTTCTCTAATTAAAAGACAAAAAATTGTCTTACTGCCCACCGTGTGGTGGCGGGGGGGATGGAGTATGCAAAGGGCCAGCAGAGTGTAAACAAAGTGCACACGAGCATGTCGACAGAAGCTAAACAAAAAGCGATTGATCCATTAACTGAGCTGAATGCCTTCTTGCTGTAACACAAACCCAATCAATCAGAGTCTCTGGCCTTTGTTTGCTTTCGCAGCCGAAGAAAAACAAGGGAAAATCAGCACAAGAACAGGGCGGTTCAATGTGGGTCAAAGAAATGTGTCGCCTGGCTTCAATTAGCTTTGGCTTTGTCTGCCATAAATTGCAGGGGCCGAGAGAGACTCCTTAGAATCAATTAACATTGCGCACACGACGCAGAGCGGCACATGGGGCCACAGCTGGGCTGGGCGGGGTCGGAGATGATTATGCACCATCAATTGCAAAAGTTCTTTCCCTTGGGGAACCCATTCGATTGGCAGAGTCAAGTGCTGCGGCCTGCCGCCCCCATCGACTTGCAATCGTTCAGCTGTTAATAATCAAATATCTATTGCTTCGTTGCCGACCTTCCCCGTCGCTTAATCAGTTGTCAATTTGCTTTATTGACATCGCTGGCACTCGCCCGGAAAGCACAACGCCAACAGAGTGCAACAAAAGATCCCCGCCATCTAGATTGCATTTTCCCTGCTGTGCTGCTGCTGCTGCAATCTGGAAAATGGTAAAGTGGCAAACATTTAATTCTCTGGCAAATGCTGGCCAATTAGCCGGGTCACAAGCGGATGGCGCGAATGCGGGGTAAAAACTTGGAATAAGAAAAAGAAAAGGAGCAAGCGAAAAGCAAGGATAATGGGTGCCATCATCAGCGGGTGATTCTGAGGAACTTTAATGAGGGAAATAAAGCATAAGAATAGCATAAGGTTTAGCTATCTCTTTAAGCCTACAAAACCACACAGACACACAGCATTTGGTAGGCCAACTTTTGCTGGGACTGTGCGCTTTGTTGGCCAATTGTTGAGCAACATATTAATCTAATTATCGCACAGACTGGCGGCACTTGATTGATTGGCCCGACCACGAGACAAGTTCAAAGGCAATGTGAGAATATATATTCACAATAAGCCATCAAGTCTCGGTGATGGATTCCGCAGCACAAGCACCAGCACCAAGGCCAGTTGGACAGTTGGCCAGTTGGCCAGTTGGCCAGTGGGGCGTCCCTTAAGTTCAATCAAATCTGATATCCATGGAGCAGGCGGGGCAACTTTATGATATGTTCAAGCATAAATCATGCATGAATGTGGGGCCAGCAAAACGTTTCACAGATTCAAGAGGATCCGTGAAGAGAAACTCCTTGAACAGGCGGCAGCAAATTGCCCAACAAATCAATCAAACACAACTGACAGCAGCGAGAAGCGAAAGTTTTGTATCCACACAGGACACAGCGCACAGGACATGTAAATGAAACGGGGAAGCTACGGAAAATCTCTGACTGCTGGCTGCTGGCTGCTGTCGGCTTGGCTTTGGGCCTGTTGAAATATCCAAGACAACAACCGGACATGATGGGCCCCATGATGGGTCGTCTCTATTATTTAGGCTCAAGGGCCCAGTCACTTGATCAAATTTTAAAGAAAAGGAGAACAAGTAGGAGGCCCAGTAGGAGACCAAATAGGAGCCCGAATAGGAGCCCAAATAGGAGCCCCAGTAGCAGCCCCAGTAGCAGCCCAAATGAAATATTCATGGCCCAACCTTTGTTCCTGAAAGTGTTTTAGAAACCCAAAATGTGAATAAGCAACAATTTGAAGAGCTGAATAATTAACCATCTACCAGTGGAGTGTGTTAGGAGCGGGGGTAGTGGGGGGTGCACTCCATGCCATTATTCTGTTACTTGCAATAATAAAATATCAAGCATACGCCACGTGTGTGCCATCATTTGAATGGTAATTGAATTTTATATTCACATTTGTTAATTTCCTAGAAGCACACTACGCCCTGCCCCCTGCCCCCCGCCCCCCGCCATGCAAACTCAAACATAAACTCAAATTATTCCAACTTCCAATCGACTTCATTATGGGCGGCACCTGCACACCGCACGGCTGTGTGGAGTCTGCAGACTGTAGTCAGCCCTGCCTGCTGCCTGCCACATGCCACATCTCATCTTCTACCGGCTTGCCGAATTTTCACTTTAATTGCCAGATCGCAGCTCATCTCGTTGCTTTTAGCTGCTGTGGCAGCTCTGAACCGGTGGCATGCCCCACGTGTAGTAGTCGCTCCTTGCACCTCTTCTTCCTCGCTGCCGTTTATTTGCTTTGCCAGAACGACTGCGCATATTTTTGCCTGCAAATTAATTGTTGACATTTGCAGCAACAAAAAAGAAAACAAAGCGAAAGAAAACACAGAAGAGAGCATTAAACAAATAAGAAAAGAAAAACATTTGTTGAGTAGACGGGTTGTAATGCCCTGCCCTGCCCTGCCCCGCCCCGCCCTGCCTTTCGTATCGTTTTTTTTTTCATTCTTATTAATTAGGAAAACTCTGGGAGAAATGTTATTTGTTTTGTTTGAGTTCAAGTCGGTTAAGTGAGCATTTGTTCAACTGTATCGGTGGGTGGGTGGGTGGTATTGCTTGGGGTAGAGTAAAGGCATTAATTGTAAGCAGATTGAGCAAGTAATTTGGCTCACTTGATGATTGGACTTTGGGAGCCAACTTTTCTGTTGATTAAATGCTGTTTGTTTTGGAGAAAAGTTTGCCAAAAATGGCACGAATTTTACCCCGTTCAGAGCTGCCCAAAATGATGCTTAATGTTTGAGGGTTGGTGGTTTATCCATTACAAATATTAAAATTGAATAACCAACCCGTCCGAGCGCATTCACTGCGAGTAATATTCCATTTGCTCTGCCACGGATACGGGTATTTATTCACATGAATATATAGCTAGCTAGTAAATGAATCCCTGCAATGATATTTCTTGTAAAACGTAAAATGCAATTTCCAACTACCAAAAGCTGAAATCAAAGCCATGAAAATAGTGCATGGTTAGGCTAAGGTCAGAGTACAGTGCGTTTTAAAAGTATAAAGCAGGCAAATGTTGGAAAAATTATAATAATTGGATAAGTTGGATAAGTAGTTCAGTTTCATAAATAAAAGAAATATAAAATAAAATAAAAAGTAAAAGAAAAGAAAAATAACTAAAGCTATTAATCCATGAAGTTTTTATTTATTTTTTCAAATAATTTATCATTAATCTGTATCGATAATTTAATAATCGAAAATACATTTTAAACACAGAAATATTTTATTTGGCTTTGGCTTCTTTTTCAGCGCTAAGTTAGTGTTAAAAGCTCCGCTTAGCTGCTCTCTCAAAGCTCAAACTAGCTTTATATCCATGAGACGCACTGTACACTGTATGCCAGCTATGCTGTAACAGGCACACGTCGATATGCAAACATTTTATGTGCAAACTTTTCACATCTCTGTGCAAAAACGGTGAGCATAAAAAAAATGGCAACTGCATAGCTGAACGACTTCCTTCCCGGACATGGGACCCATAACGCTGTCGCCTTCTGGCATGCCCTGGACTCAAACCACCCACCCAGCCAACGCTGCTGCTGCCAAAATGCATTACACAAATTGTCCATTTATGGCAGGGCAAATGTGGAACTTCAAGCGAAAACCGCACATAAAAACTATTAGGTACTCGGTTAAGGCAAACAGTTTGTCTGCCTTCATCACACGGACAGGCGGCCACACGGCCACACGGCCACTCCTTGACGATTCACGTTTTACCCGTGCGTCCAAAAGGTGGAAGAAACATCTGTCAGCGGCATTCAGGCGCGACAGTCAGCTCAGACATGCGGGCGACACTCGTGCGACATTTTGGCAACATTCTGGGGCACAACTGTCCTCAGAGCATGCCTGGCCGCAGATGAGGCTTTAGACTGAAAGATACCTCAGGTTTTGGCTGTAATTTTGCGCTGCAAGCAAAAGAAAACTTTAAGGGAACTTTAAGCCGTGCTTGCGGTGTCTTTAGCTCTTATATGCGATGCTTGCCGACACTTTCTATTGCCTGTTACGTACATTTTATTGAGCACAAACTACCCCTGAGATTCACAAGCAAAGGGCATGCAAAATCGTATTGAAAACTAGCTGACAAACATGTTCCACTGATGGACACAGACAGGAACATAGAGAGGGAGCACAGGGAGCAGGGGAACAGACACAGGGAACATCCATGGTACATGGACATGGACACGAACTTCAGTTGCGTTCCCCTCGGCTCGCTGCTCGCAGCTCGTAAATGGGTTGACATTTCAATCTCTGTCTGAATGTCTGGGCCACTGGAGCTGAGAAGCGATGAGTACAGTTGGAGTACGCTGGAGTACAGTGGAGTTGGGTTGGCTGATGATGATCATTCGGCAGTTGGGTGGGTGGTTGGTGTGACTCTTGAATTCCCCAGCATCGCTTTATCTAACCCTCACCCCCCTCGCATGCTCGTACGTATTTCGCATGCATATTTCACAAAATTGCATCCGTTTGTCGCATTTTGGCAGCCATATTCTACTCTAGCTCTAAACAACTTCCGCACGTCTGAATGTGAGTCAATTACAAAATTGCATTTTCCCCCATACCCAAACCCAGACCCTGCACACACCCAAGGGGGGGTTAAGCCGCACTCGCTCTTGGAGCTTTGTTGGTTTTCTTTTTTTGCAGCCGCCTTCATTAGGCCAAAGATATGGCACAACTTTTATTTTGTCTAAATTGCCCTCAAACTATTCACACAAAAATTGTTGTTAGGGGCAAATGAGGCAACGAACAACAGCTTGTTTCGTTGGGAGTTGAGGCAAAGTTTTGTTGTGGACAAACTGCAGCTCAAAAATAAACAAGAAAGGCTTTGAAGCGAAAATTGTGGACATATGCTGGGGATTTGGATTTGAGCAGCACTTCAATTTCAGCTAAGCAATCAAAACCAAAATAAAATCGAAGCATAAGCAAGGCTCTTGCTTCTATAAATTCTCCTAAAATTCCATAAAACTATATCCTCCATTATATATTAACCCAAAATCTCCTCTCAAGGCAGAAATCGAACTTGGCAGAGGGTTTTGCCCCCCCTTCCCGTTAAAGCGCTGCCCAACGAACCATGACCATGGCCCTTAGTTTCAGCTGCAAAAACCCATTAGCAGCCCCCTAAGCCTGAGGAGGTTCTGTTCCAAACTAGCGACAGATCTAACCTGCAGGAAGGGGCGGGGTTCCAGGGAGCAGAACTGTTTGAACCTCTGGACTAAGCGAAGATTTGCGGCTAAGTCACGTAAGGCGAATAAATTTTGTATGACATTGCCGGGCAGTGCTCGGGAGGAGCCAGCAGCCAGAAGTCAGCAGCCAGCAGCCAGCAGCCAGGAGGGGGACCATCAAAGTAGCGCAAATTTGTAACGGTAATTTAGCCTGGGCGTCCACCGGATTTCAGTGTCGTAGATGGGGGGCGGGGGCTGGGGCTAAATTGGGAGAGTTTCATTGCCGTAGAAGAGGGAAAATTGGGAGGGTTTAAGGCTGGGGAGTGCCAATGGAGGGCACTAAGTAGCCAGGACCATATTTCACGCAATGACTACAAAACAGACAGCACCGACCACGCCCCGTTGGTAACTGGACTTCCGAAGTACCCCCCAACCCCCCTTCCATTAGATGCCAAATTAAATTAAATGTAAAAATCTTTTGCACGCAATTGAGAAATGGAGAAAAGTGCAAAATAAATTTATAGACATAAAATATGAAAAGAGAGAGTGGGAGAGAGAGGGAGAGAGCAAGATTGCGGGGGATAAGGAGTGGTGGGTAGCAGCGGGGGTTGGGGGAGGACTTTTTACGACTGCCATAGAAATTAAAATGCCATTTAATGTTGGCAGAATATATAAATTAAATGGTTTTTCTTTGCCTTTTTATATGTTTATTTCGACTGCTGTCCCTGGCATTGGTTGCGGCTCCGTTGCTGCCCCTGTTGCCCGGACAGTGGCTGCTGCAGCCAACACCGATTTGACGGTAAATTGAATTGGCATAAAAGACAAACTGAAAGTTTTTGGCTTTACGGCCGCCCGCCCCACCAATGTCTCAATTTGTGCGGGACAACCGAAGCCTAATCGACTTTAGGACGTTGCCGTTTTATGATTGCAGACTTTATACGTGTTTATCTGTGAGTCGGCGTCTGCATTTGCTCTGGCAGAGTCAAACACCGTGGCAGGGCGGTCAGGGAAAGGAGCGCTGAGTTTACTTTGTTGCCAATTGTTTATGCCATTTAAATTTGTTATGCGCCTTTTATGTCTCTCCCCCCGCCACGGTTTTATGACCAAAGTTTTATTTATGTCTCTGCGCTACGCTCTCTGAATTTTCGACACGCCAATTGCATTTGATTAGATTTTGTGTGTTGCTTTGTTGGCTCTGAAAATATGGCGGAACTTGTGAGAGCAAGCTTTCCCCTTAGGCAATGTTTAAGTCGCAGTTAGAGTCCCAGTTTTACTTACACTCAAGCCCCAATTCCCCCAATTAATTTGACTGATTTATGGATAAATTGACGGAGAATCAATTACCAGCAGCAGCCCCGCGCTCAAAGCGCAGCTTAAAGGAGCTTTAGCGGCCATTTCTCCAAGTGCATCTTACGGCTTAGCCTCATCACGTGCCCGGAAGGCAGGACTTGTCCAGGCTGTCTAGCTCGAGCAGTGGCAGTGGCAGGGGGAGCCGCTGCTTTTAGCTGTGTAAATTAGTTATAGCTGTTGGATGGGCGCTGAGATCGGCCCAGTTGCAAGTGGCCTGCAGTGTTGATTCTACGACATTTAAGAAGATTTATGGCTACACCTTGACGGCAAATGGGCGCGCCCCCCAACCCCGCAGTGTCCGTGTCCGAGAGCCAAGCGGAAGCTGCAGCGAGTGCATGGATGGGGCCCATGCTGGGCTGGGATGCTGGGCAAATTGCCGAAAGTCATTAAGTTTGCGCATCAGTGCAACAGCAATGAGATTTGCCTCCACCTCGAGGACTCAGGACTCAGGACACAGCACACAGCACACAGCCACAGCGGAAAGTCAACGGCAGCGAGAACAGGTCTTTAAGGGGCTCATTTTTATTCAATCCCAGTTGGAATGGGCTGCGAAGGCACTCGAGCTTCGAGTTGACTTGACTGAAGATTGAGGCTCTGGCAGGCTGACAGGCTGACTCGCTGACAGGCTCTGGCTGAAATATAATTATAGTTTCATTTCCGTTCCGAGTGGAAAATGCAAATTTCGGCTGGCAGACAACGTCAACACGTGGCGTATGAGTAATGCATGGCCTTGGACCCCTCAATCTGCCCTGAAAATAAAGCTGCACAGACGGGACTGTATTAAGTCTTTCAACCGAAATGATTAATTAGCTTAATTGACTGAAGGATTAAAGCGGAAAGAGGAAACACTTTAAAATGCAATTTATAGGCCCAATAAAAAGCCAAAGCCAAAGCCAAAGGAACTGGGTTGAACTCCCGGACCAGCCCCAAAGATGGCAGCTAGCGCATCAGCTTGAAGGTTACATAGACAGCCACCGTCGCGCAGCAGCAGCAGCAGCAGAGGCTGCAGCTGACCTTCTTGGCGTCCACAAGGCCCTGGCGATCGCAGAACAGCAGCTCGAAGGTGCGACGGAAGATGCTCGGCTGCAGATCGCCACAGCTGCCGATGGAGTTTAAATCCTCTGCGCTGCTGTGCCGCAGCTCGTGGAGACTCATCAGCTGCAGCAGGGGCTTCTCCGGCACCGCCTTCACGTCGAGCTCGCTCAGATAGTTGATGGTGAAGAGCTCGCGCTCGTGCTCGAGATTGTGTTCGCGTGTCTGGTCCCGCTTGGCGATGCGCTCGTTCTGGCCCGTGGCCCGTGGTGCGAGCTTCATCCAGCCGAACCATTCGAAGCGCTTCTTCACGGGCTGTGCACGGACCAGGGTCGTCACCAGCTGATCGCTGGCATCGTGAAAGGATGCCTCCGAGCTGCTGAAGGAGAGATATTCCGAGGAATCGCTTTCGCTTTCGGCCTCAACTTGTGGTACAGTTCGCAGCGGAGTCTGCGCCAGGTGATCGATGCGATCCAGACGATCCAGCCGATCCAGACGATCCAGGAGATTCAGCTGAGCCAGCTCCTGAAAATCGTACGGATGCGGCGAGGTGAAGGGCGCTTGGGAACGAACCTCGCCGTAGGTGGAATTCAGTTGCCATTCCAGCTGTCGCTGATCCTCCGACTGCTCAGCCACAGAGACGGCTTCGTGATGCTCGTGGCTGTAGTAGCGGGTGGCGCCGTAGTTCGATGGCTCCCCAGGGTATGCCATGCCATCCACGTCCTCATTCTGATTCTCATTCTCATTCCCATACGCTTGATATTGCTGCTCGTTCTGCTCAATCTGCGCATACTGATCTTCAGACTGCACCTGATCGTGATCCTGATCCTCAGCTTCATACTGATATTCCTGCACTTCTTCCTGCCATTCTTCCTGCCGCTCTTCCTGCCATTCTTCCTGCCATTCTTCCTGCCATTCCTCCTGCCATTCTTCCTGCCGTTCTTCCTGCCGTTCTTCCTGCCATTCTTCCTGCCCTTCTGCATACCTTTCTTCATACCTTTCTTCCTGCCGTTCTTCGTACTGATCTAGGGTCTCTTCCGAGTACAGATTCTCATCCTCTAAATGATATTGATTCTCTTCCTCCTGCTCCTGCTCCTCCTCCTGCTCTTGGCTCAGGTCGATCGTTTCCCTGCCCTGGCCGCCCTGAAAACGTACGGAGGGGCGTGGCCTGTAGCCGAGTCCCCTGGTGGCGTAGCGCCACAGCGCTGGGGGCACCCGAAAGCCGAACAGGTTGGCATGTCTGATGGAGTACAAAGCTCGCTCCAAAATCGATGCTCCCTGCCGCTGCTGAAACCTCAGCGGCCACAGTGGCGGGCCGCGGACGCGGCGCATGGATGGCGGCATGGCAGAGGGCCAGTAGGGGCGGTCGCTGCTTAGCAGGTGAACGGAGGGCGTTGTCATGGTGGAGGCGGTTCTCTCGCTCCTCTGCTGACCGCGCGACTTACGCGGAGGAATCAGACGCGGCGGCTGCACCGCTCTGGGTCCCTGGGAGCGTGCAAAGCGATTCCGCGAGTACTCCTCGTCGCGCTCCCTGGCGATCTGGTCGCGTACTCGGGCCCTGGCCCGGTCCCCGATCACTGCCACCGTCAGCATGCGCTCCACCTGCCGCCGGTTGGTGAACGTGATGCGACCCACCATTATCCCGTAGTCCTGACACAGCAGGAAGAGCTCGGCGTTGTTCAGCTGCCGCAGCTGCTCCAGAACCGTCGGCCTGGGATTGTTCATGGTTCTCTGGCTCTCCTTATTCCCGGTGGGGGTGGGGGGATAAAATACTTAGAATTTTTGATCTTACTTAATAAAAATTAACAATAAAATTTGTTGTCGATGAACAGTCTGAACCAGTCTGAGAATGAAGTTAAAATCCATTGGCTTTTGTTTTCCGTGCTCATTCTCAGGCGGCCTAGACAAGTGACAACAAAGCCTTTTGCCCGAAGGCGTCTCATGGAAACTTTCGATGGCCTTCGGCGGTGATTTCCATATAGCTGGAGGGGGGGAGGGGTGCCCTCCAGCTTAGATGTTGTCCCGTGCGGGAAGCGGGACCGAAATCAGACAATAAATTTAAACTTTGTTCCCCATGCAAAGAGGGGGGAAAACAAGCTGGCAAAACTGACAAATGGAAAAGTTGAAAAGTCATCGAGTTCTGTTGTTATTTTATTTTGATGACCTGTGACTGCATTTCCCTGCCCAAACGTAAAGATTTCACCCTTCTACCAACGCCACTCCACTGCTCTGTGTGTGTGTGTGTGTGTCCCGGGTCCCCCCCTCCTTTCGAGGGCGCCCAATGTTATAGCTGTTTTTCGTCCGTTTTTTTTTTGCTTTTATGGAGAAATATTGTATGTCCTGGGGAGCGGAGGTGGACACAGATGTGACCAAGCCCTGGGACAGATCAAAGGGAGTGTCAGCTTTAAAGGGGGGACAACAACAAAAGGAATAACAAAAAACTTAACTGAATTGTCTGGCATTTTGATTCTGATTTTGTTAAAGTACTCAATTATTTTTCGTGAATAATTTGAGCACTTTTTTGAATGTACATAAATACAGATATGGAAGCTGCCAGTATATGGGGTCAGATTTTTCATTTAAAATAATTCTTGGCTCCTTTTTTTTTACAATTTTTTACTCTTAAAGGTCTTTTAATTTACTAAAATTTTTATTAAACAAAATTGAAAGTTAAATTTCCCTAAATAGCTCTCTGAGCGCCATCTTTTAGTTCAGTTTAAAAGCATGACAAGCGGCATCTATGTGGAAGCTTAAGGAAGCCAGAAAACTTCAATGAAAGCTTATTGAAGCTGGCTGCTATGAAACTAATATAATCTTGGTCTGCTGTACATATAAAAATTACAAAAACAACATTGCCTGTCTCTGCAAATAAATCGGAGAACTATAAAGAATTATATTAAATTCTAGTGTACAATAAAACCATAAAATATGTTGGAATATATCCCATATTTTATGATAGTTTCAAAGCACCTTCCTATGCGATTTTAGATTGAATTTCCGATGTAAACCAAAGACAAATTTTAGTGCACCATAAAGCCATAAAATATTTTAGAATATATCCGACATTTTATAAAAATTTCAAACCCTCTTCCTATGCGATTTTAGCTTTAATTTCCCATGTAAACCCAAGACAGACTCATGACAGTTCGTTTAATATTCATAAAGTTTTATTAGTAAACATATATTTAGACTACACAGAACTACAAACATTTTAGATGATTTAAATTTTGTTTTTTTGGTTTTGTTTTTTTTGGGTTTCTATTTGTTTTTTGTTTTTGTGTTTTTTATATTTTTGTTGCAATGTTGTGACCTAATTTAAATTTAGTTTAATAATATTGTAATAAATAATTCGTTAGGCGTATAAATTGACTGTCTGTCCTGGCTGACTGCAGCACTCTATTATTGTCATTCAAGAATTCATTTGATTTGTTTGTTTCGCACGCATTAAATATTATATTAAATGTCATTCGCTTTTATGTAATGTATGTACGAGTATGTATACTTAATCTATTAAGTATGTACAAAGCTCAAACTATGAACACGAACTTTTAACGGCATTTGAAATTCTGATTTATGATTGTATTCCGATTCGATTTTATTTGTATTTTTTAATTGTTTATTGGTTAGACGACTTCTAGCTGCTAGATATATATATATTAATTGTTTGTCTTTTTGGATTTTGTTGTTTGCTATGGCAGAAAACTTGATAGAATATTAATTAGCCTTTAATAATTACTAAAATACGAATCTCATTTGATCCAACATACAGTTTTTGCGACCTAACAAAATGCATTTGCTTGGAGTTTTCAATTGGAATTTGAAATTCGAATAGAACTAATTTTGGTTTCTCCTTTCATTCTCATTTTCATTTAATACTAATCATATATATGTGGGGAAGGGTAGGAGAATGTTATGCAAATTTGAACTCAATTTAATATAATTATTAATTATATTTAAAAATTATGTACACCTTGAAAGTATTGCTAATTTAGACGATAGATAAATGTACCTTTATCTTTCTGTATTCTTAATTCTGTTCTGCTTGTTCTGCGGGGGGAAAAACAAACTAATTCACGAATTAGTAGCTGGCTTAAATTCGTTGCTGTTTCTTTTTGTTTTGTTTTGTTTAGTACTTGTACTCTGGCAGACCTCTGCTCGGCGCGGAGGTGGCTGCTGCAAATGGATCAATCTTGGAAATTAGATGCGTCTTGGTCGCCCATAATTTAATCGCAAACAAACTGATGGAGTCCGAGTCCGAGTCGCCCCCCACCCACGGATAAACGCCGCAGCGATGAACCTTAAAACTCCTCATCGTCGTAGTCATCGCTGTCGCTATCCTGGCGGGGAAGGATGTGGAATCGGGCCCACAGCCGGGACATGTCCACTCATCGCTTGCGATTATAGGCGCCAAGCGAAGACTGCCTTCATTCCTTCATCTCATGGCCATTGGCGCCCAGCTCGAGGAGCTCATGGGGTTCGGCATTCAGCTGGGGGACAGAAAATATATTAATTAGGAATAGGGGGATGGGGAATACCTATAGCCATAGTTCTTACCCTATCCACGCTGGCCAGATCGTTCTTCGACAGATGATTAACCAAAATAGTGCCCAGGGCATCGCACATCACATTGATGGTAGTGCGGAAGCGATCCCTGCAAGCAAAACAAATGGCTAAAGATAGCTACAGAGGGGAACTTGCTTTGGGAGGATACTCACAGCAACCAATCGACAGCTATAATGAGGGACACATCCTTGGGCTCCAGGCCCACGGTGTCCAGCACCATGACCATGGTGACGAGGCCCGCCTGCGGTATGCCAGCGGCTCCAATCGAGGCAGCCGTTGCCGTTATGCTCACCGCCACAATGGTGCCAAAGGAGTAGCTCATCTCGCGGTACTGGGCAATGAAGAGAGCGGCCACAGCCTCATAGAGGGCAGTGCCGTCCATGTTGATGGTGGCGCCCACGGGTATGACGAATCGTGTGACACGCGGATCGATGCCCATGTTGTCCAGACACTTGATGGTCAGCGGCATGGTGGCCGAACTGGAGCCAGTGCCAAAGGCAGTGGCCAGCACCTGACTCAGCTTTGCAATATAGCGATACGGCAGGCGTCGTGTGCCCAAGAAAAAGATCACAGCAATGGTACCTGAAGCAGAGCCAGAGGAAATGTTATTTGAGATGCAAATTGGCTGCTGGCAGAGGGGGAAAGACTCACCGAATCCGTGCAAAAAGAGACCAATCATAACTGTTATGAAATACCAGCCCAGGGATTGTATAGTCGCTGCTATGGACTCCATTTCGATGATCTTGGCGGCTATCAGGAAGGCCACACCCAATGGCGAAATCCTGCAAACGAATTACATTACAGCTATATGCAAGGATAAAGGATAAAGGCTATCCACCACTCACCAGATAACCCACGAGGTGATTGTCATCATTGCCTCGCTCAATGTGGTGAAGAAGTCCTGCAGCAGTTGACCCTTCTCACGCATTCGGCCGATGGTGGTGCCCAGAATTACACTGAACATGACCAGACCCAGCACATTGGAGCCCTCGCGTTGGGAGGACTTGAATTGCCAGGCTTCCATGGGTTCTAGGGGGCACAAATTGCGGAATTAGTGGAGGATTATTTGATGAACGAGAACCGCTTACGTGCAGGGCTAATGCTGGTGTTCTCAAAGATCTCAGTGCGATACTAAAAGGGAAGAGATTTAAGGGATTATTAAGGCATTATTAGGCGGTTAAGTATGGTGCATAGATTGCTCCAGGAAACGGGAAACTTCCTTGGAAACTTTGCCATAATTTTCCATTTTTTGTGGCACTTTTGAGCCATGCAGTGGCGAAAGTGCTGCCTGTTGATTATCGTATCCCCCTTCATTGACTCCGACAATAATCTAATTGTGGCGCATGAATATTCATTTGGTTGCCCACAGATACAGATGCAGATACTGGCACAGATACAGATACACCGATACGTATTATCATACAAATGCTGGAGGTACAATGTCCATACATATCAGCGACAGTCCCGTCCCGAGGCAAGTACTTTGATTCAATTTGTGTCTGGGGGAGCCACAAAAAAAAAACCCCTGCGCCTCTGTCCACGTCTCCGTCTCTTTGTCTGTGTATGCGATAATTGAAATTTAAGCGAGAGAATGGGAGAGAGACATGTGCGAAAGTCTGCCCCTACTTTGGGGATTGTAATTGAAATTGTGGTATCCCTAGCCCTATATCATGTCGCTTTTGATTATGTCGGGTCGTGTCGTGTCGTGTCGTGCGGTTTGTTTCAATCAAACTCGCCAAACCGCAAAGAATTGAATAATTGCGGCGATTGCTGCTACGGATTTCTGTGTGTGTGGAACAGTGCGTATGCTCGATCCTCTCCTCATCTCTCTCGTTGCAGGAGAGTCTAAAGCTTACCTGGAACATGGTGGACTGGATGATGTTGTCCGTGAACATGTTTCTATTATAAAGACACAGAGAGAAAATGAATCAGAATTTGGCGCGCGATTATCGTTGGATCGATCTCGTGTAGACATACCGCACCAGATCCATTAGCGTGTCTGGGGTCAGCACCTTGGATGCCTTATCGATGCTCTCCGTTTGGGTTTCCACAATCTTGGCACCCTGTCCGGGGCGCAGTGTGGTGACCAGACAAATGCCCAAAACCACAGCCGATATGGTGGTCACAAAGTAATATGTGATGGCTCTGAAAGGGCGGGCAAAAAAGTGGGATTAGGGAGGGTTCTCCTCGAGCTTGCGCATGCGCCGTGAGACTCACCTGGTTGCTATCTTACTGGACATGCTCAAGTCCAGTCCGCCAATGGCGCTGGTTATCGACGACACCAACAGCGGCACAATCAGGCACTTCAGCATGCTGCAAGAAAAAGAGTTGCAAATATTTCAATCAAGTGAAGATTCTTTTATGCAAAGAGTCGGAGTACTTACCGCAAAAAGATCTCGCCCGGAAATGATATGTACATAATCTCACGCTTTGTCCATTCCCCGGTGCTGTTCTTGATGATGAAACCGATCAGGCCTCCCGCAAAGACACCGATGACGGTGGCCATGGTGAGGACATTCTCCCGCATGAATGCCTTGAATTTGCTCTCATTTTGCTTGGGTCGCGTCATTGTCGATGTATGCTGCGCTCAGGGCTTAAAGGGGGTTCCCCTTTTGGGTATAGCTGTCTAGCTGCCTAAGCCTAGTTAAAGGGAGTTTTCTGAGCTCCGATTAGTTGCCAAAAAGGGTGCTGCAAAGACAATATGAAGTTCAGTTAAAACAGATTAAAATTATATGGGAAACTAACTTTCTTCTGTAGTTGGAACAATGTTTGTGGTCTCTGTACCTAATTCTATTTATTTTCTCATTGAAAATTCCACACAAAACACGTTCGTTGACAGATGTGGTTACTGCTCGCGGGTCAAACGGCGATCCACGACTGAGAGCTTGCGGCACAGCGCAAAATTACAACCCCCAAAATGAGCGTGGCAGCTGGGCTTTTGTGATTTATGCAAAGCCCTCCTCCCACCCCTAATCTCCGCCCTCCTAATGGCGTTACTTTTGACACAAAGCCGGACGGATGTTGTTCAACATTCAAATAGTTCTTGTTTATGTTTTTGGAAATTTATTACAAAACATTTTTCGAGAGAGCCAAACGGAAGGTAGGACGGAAGGAAGGATGCTGTGCCCTGGTAGGGCTTTGCTCGAGCCAACCCTAAAAAATATTAACAATTTCTCACTTGCTTTTTAGCATTCATTAAGCTGCGACACCTTTTTGTTTTTGTTTGCTATTCTCAACAAATGTGCGAAAAGCAGCGGAAAAACAAAGGAAAAAAAAAACACTGAGAAAATGCAGCTCAATTAATAGCGGCGCGGAGAGGAGAACAAGTTCATCGGGAAACGTGGCAAACAAATAAATTTACATAAACGATCAGCTAATGAAAAGTAATTCCCGCTCGGCCCCGCCCCGCCCGCTGCACACTGGAGTGCAAGGGCACAGACACTGCAGCCTGAATGGCGGTGATCAATACAAGCTGATAGCGAATCCAGTCTGCTCCGGAATCCCATCCCATCCCATCCCGCCGATCATGTGTCTTTGAAAACTGACCCAAATAGCAGGCACCCTCCCGCCTAGTGGCAGTCCCATTGAGATCCATCCTCCTCAATTGGGCCGTGAGACGACTTGACGCGGACATTCAGATTAATCGAGAAATTGTTCACACTTTGGCATTGTTTAGCCAATTGCATTACAATTGTGGAGGAGACAACATCACAGATAGCAGATAGAGAGCGATCACATCAGAGCTCTGAAAACACTCTGCGCTGGGGCTCTCGTATGAATGTGAAATGGAAAAGCTTCACGCTTGACTGCCTGAACAAGTGGCGGGGAGCAGCATAGATGTTGTACGATGCAAATGCTTTAGTTGAGGGTAGAATGCAAATTCTCTAACTTGGGATGAACCGATGGATCGGTTGATCTACAATCAGCCAGGGAATCGGCTAGATCAGTGATCTCATTACTGAAATATTCCAAAGGGAGAGCGACAATAATATTCACAATGATTCGATCATGTTTAAGTCTCTCCATTTATTTTACTTTAAGTCTTTCTTTTCTACCTTGCAGTAATCACTAATCGATCCTCTCTTTCCCTCTCTTTTTTTAGGTGATAAGAGTATCTGCCAGATCGACCACAATGTCACCTGTTCAGCTCACAATTCTCTGGATGCTGCCCAACCTTTTTGATATGTCTCTCCTACCGGGGTAAGTAGTTGCGGTTCACCTGATTGATGTAGCTACAGAATAGATCGGAACACAACAGCCAGCGGGGGGGACTGGTGGCCGGCCCGATTGGCATGTGCCCAGGCCCAGGTTACCCTCCACAGTTCCATTGATATGGTATCTTTTGGTCGGGCACAATTACATTCAGAGTGTTTTGGAGTGCAAAGAGTGGGGGGTGTGGGCAGTGAGGCATGTCTGGGCTACTGAAACTAACAACTTTTTATCTCTCGTTAGTTTAATTAATTTAATTCATGGGCCAAGTTTAATGAGAGATAAGAACTGAACCTGATTGATAAAGAGAGGAGAGGGCGTGTACTTTGAATGCAGTTAGCATTGCACAATGAAGTTGATTTATTTACAAAAGTTGCCTTTGACCAAGTGACTGACTGCCCGACTGCCCGTCTGCTCAGACTCGCTCATTCCCCGTGCCGTGTAGATTTTTTTTTCATATTTATTCATATTTAGTTGTCTTTCTATTTCGAACTTGACCGTGAGTCAGGCAAATGAATTCCTATACTACATTCACAGACAGCATTTGCATTCGGCGTTAATATTTGCCTAGAATGTGTCGCAGTTGTCTTTGAAATTAAATTGCATTTACAGCGGATATTATGACTGGCCATTGCAAGTGAATATAATTGAAGTTCATTGACAAAAAGTATGGTTAACACTCAACGGAAGTTGCTCAATTATTAATGGTATGGAAATGGGAATTGGGAATTGGGAATCATGAAATGTAATACCCATTTGACACTCGCACCCAACGTGATCGCTGGGAGATTTCAACTTGAACTTGTTGGCTTCATTAGCAAGCCCCTAAAACCTACTAAAACCCTCTAATTGAATGAAGCTGGCCTGACCTATACCCGAAATACCCAGAATACCAAGAATACCCAGAATCAAACAGCTAGCTTCTAGATTTCCATTCAAAAACATTTCCTATGTGTGGGCGTTGATGGGGCGTTGATTCCTTGCCGCATCTTTTTGATTGGCAGACCGGACAGATCAGATCGGCCAGCAGTTTACACGAACAAGTTTATTATTGTTGTCGATTGTTAAACACAAATAAAATATCCGCAGATGAATACTAATTAATTCCAGACTTACATAAAATACTTTTACACCGCCAACTAATTAATGCAATGCAAAACTCTGGGGGTAGCCATGTTCGAGTCGCGTATTCATTGTCAATGCAAATTTAGTTGCACTTGCAAGGGGCTGTGTGAGTGTGCCATTTTGAGTGTGGAGAGGAAGGCTGTGACCCACCCATTTGTCTTTGAGTGAAATATATTATAATATTTACTATGTGTAAGGCGTACAGAGAACCAGTTTAAACTGAACAAAAAATCAAACTAAAATACATAGTAGTGGGGGGAGGGAGTGCAGCAAAGTTTTTGCATAGATTTTTTCCAGATTTATCTGGTTTTAACAAATTTCGTTAACTGAATCGAGAGATATTCTCAAACTGTTTGCATAGAAAACTTAATAGAACCTTGATAGACTTTCATCCTAGCTGTCATATTTAAATATTTTTCCCCTGGGACTTTACCATTTCTCAACTAAATATTTAATTAGCAACAAAATACGAAGAAATAATAACCAGTACCTAACGTTAAATATATTGCTTAATTATAATTAATTAGGCAAAAAAAAAAATTCAATAGAAAAGTGTAGAAGTCGATGCAAAAATCAATTTCAATGAGTTTACATTTCGTACGAGTTTTTGTATGTTTCAGAGTTGGGGTTCAGACGATTAGACAGCACATAGGCATACGAGTATATATATATATATGACGCTATAATCTCGATTCTCGATTCTCTGTTCTCGGTCCGACGGCCTTTGTCGCCGCAATCTATAGACGGTGTGTCTGTCTGACTACGATTATCGCTGGACAGACAGACAGACTGACAAGAAAGCAGACCGGCATTTCCATTTTGTCCATGCTAAACTTCTAAACCCAATCAAGATCATGCGAGTTCCGCGAAAAAAAAAAGCGAAAGAATTAAAAAACGCGACAAACACACGGCAAAAATTCCGCCGAAATATAATCACAAATATGAGTTCGGCATCTGGACTGGACTGATCCGATCTGAGCCCGACTTTAATGGTTTATTCTGCCCTAATTGAATTTACACGCACTTCGTCATATAATTTAATTTTATTTGGATGAGAAATTGACGAAAATGTTTGAAATGAACGCGAGGGACGTTCATAAATGCGGCGCGCGCGCGAATAACATAGATTTCTGTGTGTAATATCGTATATAGTATATATATATTTTGTGTGCACCTCTCAGTTAATGGGTAAAAATCTTGGAAGAGCGAAAGCGAAACTATTTTTGTGCACTAAAGCCAAAAAGAAAACTGCATTGTGTGCTAAAAATAATGGCAATAAAATAAGAAAAAAAAAAACGAAACATATTCATATATAGTATATATATATAGACGGCAGTGGTTGCCAAGCCCCCGCGTCTTTGCTGGGAGGGTGGCCCTACCAAGGTTAGTTGGCCGCTCGACACGTTATCAGGCATCGGTAATCGGAAATTATTCACGCTTCTTGTGTCTCAAGAAGAGGCGGAAGATGGCAGTGGGTTGGGAAGGGACTAGAGCCATACATACTAAATGGAATTAAACCTACTGCTGGGAAGCAGCAAGCATTTAACTTATGTATATATTAATACATAATTAAGAACTAATTGCAGTTTATATCAGCCCAATATATACGCTCTTGTTTTGTGTACAGGGTAGCCAAACAGCTGAGACATTGAGCCGGCAAAAAAGAAAACTTACCCACTTGCCATGAGTGTTTCATGGGAGACAAATGGAACTACGGCAAATATTCGTACAAAAATTAAAGTCCTGCAAAGGATTAACAACACAAATTAACTGTAACTTAATGTGGTAAATGTCTTATGGGGGCAGGGGGAACCACAGCAGCACAGCAGCATCCTTGAGTCGAAGGATAACATTGTTCCAGCATTGTCATTTGTCATTTTTGATTGTTTCTTGTCTGAGATTTAGTTTAGAATAGTTTTCGTTTGGTCGCCGGAGCACTTACAATCAAAAGCATACACAGTGATAATTATTATGAACCCTTTTTCATGGAAGGGGAAGACCACACAGCGATCTGGTGGCTGGCTGGGGCTCTCTAGAGGACGCGTTGTCGAGCACGCGGCGCTTTAGCGACTGATCTGATCTGATCATGCAACAGATCCCACACACAGGGGTCTCACAGCACCGGACACAAACACCGATCTGCTCTGGCTCTGGCTGTGGCTGTGGCTGGCGGACACGTAGCGTAGCGACAGAGAGCGTGGAGAGGCAGCACACGACTTGACTCGTCAGATTATAAAACAGTACTAAAAACTAAATCGAAATCAAATTCGAAATATAGCCAACGACCGCGCAAATTGTGCAGCAGCAGCAGAAGCACCAGCCGCAGCAGCGCCGTCAGCGTCGCGACTCTCATCAGCAATATATATAAATCTGTATAGAGTATAAGTGTGTTTGTGTGTGTGGGTGACGGGGAGAGGGTTGACTTTCATTCATCAAAAGCTGAGGCTGAGGCTGAGGCAGAGGCTGAGGCAGCGCTCCCATCGCATCTCACGTAACGCATACGCAGCGTTGTCTCGCGTCATTTGTCACGCCTTGTTCTCAGTATCCGAATCCTGGGTTTCGCTTTCCTTTGGCCCCATGCGAGCGCAATCAAAGGAATTCATTATCAGCCGCATGGCATCCTCCTTCGAATGTAGTTCAGTGTCTGTGCCTTGCAGGCAGCTCCTCCTCTTTGGGCTCATTAGAAGCTGCCTTGTCCGGGATTGCATTGATCAGCGTCGCATTGTTGCTAATGCCACAAAAAAGGGGAGGTGGGGTGAATCTCTGAAATGAATGCAAGTTGCGTTCAAGATCTGGTTTACAGACGACAACCAACTGAAGTAGAACTCACCCAATAAGTAGGTCAAGTTTGTCCATTACTCAATCCCCCCCGGACTGGAATGATGATTACCAAATTGTGATGTCAAAGATCACCATCACCACTCACTCCGATGACGGTGTGAGGCAACAACCACCCCAAAAATCCACCCGAACAATGGCCATTACCTCGGACTACTTGAACTTGATTGAGACTCTGCTGCTGCTGCTGCTGCTGCTGCTGCTAGAAGTACAAAAGAATCGAAAGGGAGACAAGAAAGTGGGCATGGATGGGGCTGGCAAAGAATGTTAGTTGGACATTTCCGGTTTCATATTCGTATTCGCTGTACAGTGTACAGTGTACGGCCAAGCCGCAATGATGGTAATAATAAACCAAATCAGCAACAGCAACAGCAGCTGCAGCTGCCTTTTGATCTGCTTCAATTCGATTTGCCTTGGGGGCCAGTTCTGCGTCGGTAGTTCCATGCTGCTGGGAAATGCTGCTGGGTGTATAATGTATAATGTGTTGTGCTGTGGCTATGCCGCCGCCGCCTGGGTGTCGATGCCAGAGGATGAGGATGGGCCCAACTAAGCGGGTAAGTGGCTCGGAAAGCGATACAAAAACGTAACCATTAGCCAGCCGTTGCTCGTCCCTCCACCTCCACCTACACCTCCACTCCACCCTTGCCGTAGCCACGACCCATTTCGGACGGGTGTCCGATCTTTCTCATGTGGAGAGGTGGAATGTGGTGTGGCCTGTGACTGTGTGACTGTGGCACAACCACACATTGGGACCGGAACTGTCGATCTTCATTTTTGACACTGGAAAACAATGCACGATCATGAGTGAGTGAGTGTGAGTAGGTGTGTGTGTGTGTTGAGATTGAAAATTGCAAATATTTATACATAAATACATACATCTACATAAATATGTATATGCTCACACACTTATGTGGCGGCACATAAATAAGCATATAATTATGTGCTCGAGTGTATTTGTGGACAAAGTTAATTCAGCAAATGCTGCGACATAATGAGGATGAGGCTTTGGAGGGGGGCTTAAGGATAGTTTAAGAATGCTGGCATTAAATGGATGAAGCTTTTGCCTTTGGAGTTAGTGGCTAGGGCTACATACAATTTAGACTCTTGCTTACCTTTCTTATTGTCTACGAGTATCTAAAATCTATTATCTGCCCGTCTAGCTGGCTTCTTTGCCTCGTTTTTGGTATGAACTCTGATGAATCTTGCTGAATACCATGGAACTGCTGTCAGCGCCAATCGATTGGGGGTATAATTATAGATTGCTGATAGAAGACTGTCGATCCAATCTGAAAATTATAAAAAATGTTTAGTTGCATTTAAACAGAGGGAAACATGATTAAAGCGCCTACAAAATCCATCATTCTGGGTGTCTCTCCACTGCAAGTAGGATTATAGTTAACAATTATGGTTCACACACGAATCAAACAAAGGGAAATACTTACTCCCAGCTCAAAGCGCAGTAGAAACGCCATCTTAAGCTCCAATTTGTAAGAGTTCCTTCCTTATTAGTTAGTTTTGCCCACACACTTTGAAGAACAACAATTTAGATTTGATCGATTTCGAAAAACTTTAAGCAATCAACGCCTCAAGTTTCTCCATACATTAAACATATTTATTACAAGTTTATAAGTATTATGTGTAAACATATATATGTATTATTATTATTGATAAAAAATTTCAAGATCACAAATCAGATTTTCTTTTAAGATTAAATGTGAGCGAGCGTTGTGGTTTTTTCGTATCCGACGGTACTGCAAAATGGCAACACAATTAATGGCAATATAATGCATACGAATGTGCACAGAGAGAGAGAGGGAGAGAGGAATGTGGGAACCTATATCCAATGTTTCACTATTCCTCGCGCCCATTAAGTGATTTAAAATTGAAGGCAACAGACTTGCCCAATGGCAAAGAGGTGATACAAAATATGGCCACTTAGGTGTACATATCATCTATGGGTTAACATTGTGGGTGAAAAGAACTTCCTGGACTACCGAACGCGTTGAACAAAGGAAGTATAAATAGAGGTATAGCTGGTGCTCCACTATCCCTGTCCTCTATATGCTACAAAGGTATAAAACGTGATGAAAATATGGCCACTTAGGTGTACGTATTCTATGGGCTAGGAGTACGCGCAGGTAGGGGCTACAGAGGAGTATAAATATTTGTTAAAAGAATTATACGAGAGAGTGTAGTGTAGTGTAGTGTATGGTAGCGCTGCCAGGAGACCATCGGCAACAGTTGGTTCCACATCCACCACCAAGCAGCAGCTGCCGGACGTCGTGTATGTGTGTGTGCGTCTGTGTGTGTGAGTTGCCTCCTTCCCCTGTCAAGGCGCTACCAACTGTGTGTGCTGGTAAGTGTGTGTGTGTGTGTTTTTCTCCTCCTGTATTTAATCCTCCATTTTGGGCCGTCGAAAGAGCAGAATATGGGGCTCTGGCTTGTGGATCATATAGTGGATCCATCCGCGCGACTGCTGCACACCAATCGATCGCCATTCGGTCTCCGTCATCAGATGGGTCTTGGGCACCAGTTTGACGAGCTCCTTGGGCAAGACCACATGTCTGAGCGCGGATATGAGTATATTTATACATTTACAGTTGATTTCGGCGGAGGGGGGGGGGTGGGGATATTTCGCACTCACCTATACTCGAATTTCTCATCGTAATATTTATCCGAATAATAAATATCTTTGCTCATTTTTCTATTGTGTCGTATTCCTGCTGAGACGCGCACTTGACCTTGAATTGGATGTGATGTGTGTTCTGGAATGCGGCGGCAATGCCTGCAAGCAAGGGATGCGATGTGCGAATTTTTCGGCGTCTTCTTCCGAGTTCCGGGGTGAAAGCGGCCTTCCTCTCGATCGTTGCTCTTTCGCTTCTCTGTAACTATTTCGTTGTATGTTTTCTGCGTTTTTCCGCTTATTTGGAATGTATTTGAATATTTTTATCACAATTTTATTTGGCTGACAGAGCGAAATTTACGTTTTTCAATTATTTTAAATCAGAAAAAAGAGACGCGCTCGTCATTAGGGATGATAAATTGATATCCACTCTATCGATATTGCTTGACTGAAAAATATCAATGTATCAATATTTTGGTGCGATAACTTTTGTGAGGTGTCTAACAACACTACCATCTAAGGGTTCACTTAACAAGCCGCTAGTGGTGGATTTAGGCGGTTAAAATATAAAATTGAATTACTATAAATCGTTTTTATTTATCATTATCACGTTTTTAACGCCAATATTTATTAAAACGCACAACAGATGCACATGTTTTCGTGTATTTATCTCTTATTTTAATAGTAGTTTAGTTTTAATGCGCTAGAGGGCGTCTGCACTAAGCAGCGCTTCCTCGGTTGTTCAATAGATGGCGTTTCTGTGCGCGCGATATTTGAAATGTTATCTTAACAACCCGAATAAAACGTTTTTTCCAGAGTTTAATGACTGAAAAAGAACACAAGTTACTACTCTAGTACTCCTCCCATCTTCTATAACTCATACGCCATAAAAAACCATCTTAGACACTTGCTAAGAGCCGAAATAGCACAAATTAAAACTTAATTTGACCACTCCGTGTGGTTCCCACAGAGCTGAAAGCCAACAGAGCACACAAAAACATAAATACTCCTGTCTGAATGTTTGACCATCGCCCCCGCCACGCCCCATCTGCATGGAGAAGTCTTAAAAGCCTGGCAGACACATAAATTGCCCCAGACAGCGGGGCGGGGGCAAAGGCCACAGGAACTCGAGACTTTCCGCGCGCGTGCGAAATCTTACATAAATTTCGTGGGTGTGGACAACCGAAATGAAATGCTGAGAACGCCCGCCAGAATGCAAACAGGAACAGGAGTGGAGGAAATGCTTATGCAATGCATTTATAGAGCAAACGAAAACACTTAAATATTGCGCTCGTAGTACTGCGAGGGAATGAAGACCCAGTTCTTGGCCAAATCATTGATGGATTCCTGCATGAGGCGCGATAGAATCTCCATAATGGTGCTGCAAGGGAACAGAGAGAGAGAAGGGTGTGAGTAGAGAGTGAGACTGGAGGGATGGGGTTGGGCAGGGTCCTACTTGCGATCACCCTCGACGCCAATCTCTGGCGGAGAATCCGTTTTGATGGACACCACCTCCTCGTAGGTTTTGGTGTGCTTGTGGCGCTTGCGGTCCGGGAAGATGCGCATGAAGTTCGACTTGCAGAGATACTTCCAGAAGAGCTTCTCGAAGATGGTGTTGCGATGGTCGATGGCCATTGTCAGCTCGATGATCTCGTTGGGCGTGAGCTTCTGCTTGGCGGCCAGCCGCTTGACCAGCTCCCGTCGCTCCGTCTCCTTGCGCTGCTCCTCGGTGACAGGGTTGTCGCCACCTGCCTCGGCCGTGGTGTCAATTCCCCTACCGCCGCAGGGCGAGCGTTCGGCTGCGGTGTCGCCCGCCTCGTCGTCATCCGTCTCCTGGGGGGTCTTGAGAGTCGAGCGGATGTTGAGATGCAGATAGGAATGCATTATGTAGCTATCCTCCTTCCATTTGGGATCGTCTATGGACTCGATCTCCTCCAGCTCTCGCTTGGCTATCAGCGTGGCCTGATCGAGGATGCGGTGCACCTCCAGGACGATGGGAATGCGGCGAAAGTTGACCAGGCGATCGTAGGCCGTGACCTTCACCTCCACCAGCTTGGAGTGGTGACCCTTGAGGCGGAACAAGGACGGCGAGAAGGCCACCGAAAAGAAGTCACTGATGATGTAGCTGCGGCAGAGGATTGGCACAATGATTAGATGACCCTCTGGGCTGGCTTTATGCTCACTTTTGCCATCGAAATTCGACGCACTTCTGCCCGTGATTGTGGACATTCACCAGCTGCGTGCGATCCTCCTTCATGCAGACGTCGAAGGTCACCCGATTGGGATAAATAACGTAGAGAAAGTCGGCACATTCGCGATCCTTAAGCGGCATATCCGTCTCCTCCTCCTCGTCGGCTAGCACGCCGCGCCCCTTGATCTTGTACCAGGCCTTGGCAGTCTCATACCCCAGCATCACTTCCACCTCGTTCTCATAGTCCATGGGCCGGTAGTCGACCAGCAGGGGCCACACACTCTGCCGGGGCACCGTGAGATTCGTGTTGAGCAGCTTCAGGCCGCGGTCTCGCGTGGAGAACGAGAAGTTGAGGTGCTGATTGGTGAAGTTCTGCACCCAAATGGGCTGTGTGATGTGGTAGTAGTTCTTGATATTCACCGGCAGCAGCTCCTTGGTCAGCAGACACTTTTCGGGGTCCAGTTCGGAGATTTCCAGCTTAAAGTGCCACATGAATTTGCGATTGTCATCGGTGCTAGAGGATTGACAATGTTTAGGGGTTAGGGTTAGGGTTAGGCTTAGGAGGATTTGCTTTTGCACACCCAATTGGAAGACTCACTGCACTTCGTAGGTGAGCAAATGCATGCCGTATATCTGAAAGTAGGCCGTCACTGAGAGGGCCACCACTTCGTCGGGCTTGATGGTCAGCACCTCCTGGTGCATGTGCAACAATTTGCGATGTTTGCAGTGGAAGAGCTGCCGGAACTGATTGAAGCCCACGCGCGTCAGCACCGGCCGGCAGCAGCAGTTCTGTATGCGCTTCAACGTCAGCGTCACCGGCTTCGAGGAGAGATTGCGCAGCCAGAAGACAATCTTCTGTGGTGGACTCTTGATGTGGCGTATGGGTAGGACGATTGTGTGCTCATGCTCCTGGCGATTCGACTTTAGTTTCTTGTTCCAACTGGGGGGAGAACAGGGAATCAGTACTGCGCCAGTGGTGCAGTGGCTCTTCTTACCCTAATATGTCGAAGCTTTCCCAGTAGTAAATCTTCAGGATTGGGGGCCGAACGATGGTCAGGTTCTCGATCATAAGCTTCTGGTAGATGGGCACGGGTTTGATGACTCCCGTGCATGGCGGCTTCGACATCTCCCAGCTGTTGTTTCACTACAAAATATACACACTGTATTTATCTAGCTTGGGGTTGAAATAAATATACAACGTTTGCCTCCTGGCATCATTGACCTGGCCAGAAAATGCCATTTAATCGCCTTGGGCAATGCGTGCAACATCAATATTCATAAATGGCGGCGGTTGGGCTTCCGTAGGGAACTTTCGTTGCATTTTTTATCCAAAAAGTTTAAGTTCTTGTGAAATAAACAACTTTTTCTGGGAGCGCGGCAACAAATCGCACCCAACCATCGCAACACATCGATCGTACATATCGATACACTATACCGATAGATGCTCATATCATGCACACGTGCGTTTTATGCTTCTATTTTGTAATGCCCTTGTATTGCAAAACCTTATTTTATAAACAATCCGATAAAAGTGAGTCTTCGAGTTAGCCCATTTCTTTAGAGAATTGCTTCATTAGTTGGATAAAATTATGTTTTCAGTTGTGAGGGTCTTAGCTAGCTAGTCGTATTGCACCGAATATCAAAATCGCGAAATATGATCTCCGATCTTGTACAGAGAACGCATTAACCCATTGTCGACCAGTGGATATTTCGATTTACGCACGAATATTATGAAAGCTTAAACATTTTTAACGCATTTGAGGTGATAGATATCATGTTTATATTTTATTGTAAGTAAAGCGAAAGTGATGCATCTGCAAGTAACATTTACAAACAGCACTATTTTCCGCAGCTTAGCGCAAGTTGTTCGCCTGTTCAAATAAAGGGGGGTTAAGTGGGTTAAGTATATTACGGTTTATTTCTGAGAGTCGGGGCAGGATCGGACACGCTGCAAGGATCTCAAGTGTTGTTAAAATAATTAAAAGTGCGAGAGCAACAAATAAACGAGCATGAAAAGACATTAACAGATGCAAACCTCCAGCCTGCGCCGCCACCCACATATGTATGTAAATGTGTGAGAGTTGGGAGTGCGATTTTGTGGCTGCATTCATTGTGAAAACATCATTTACAGTTCGTTCGCTGACAATCGTAGAGGATAGAATAGAGAGAGAGAGAGAGAGAAAAAGGTGAGCAGCATCAACAATTAGAATGAACAGTTAGTTACATACAGTGGAATGCGTGCAAAAGAGTGAAATAAAAAAGGGAATTTATTGAAAATTACTAAAAAGGAGATCGAAGTAAAGAAAAGTGGTTAAGGAATTTGGACACACTTTATTAATTATTTTATTCTTTTTCAGATAGTGTATTTAAAATGGAAAGGAACGAAACGTACAGTGGAACGATCAAGGAGTTCGGAAATCCTGCGAGAGCTTCATTTAAGTGAATAAATAAATATTCAATTGGGAGTAATTGCAATCAAAAATATTGAAGAATTTGCTGGTAAGTGACCTCAATTTCTGTATCATTATTTATCAAAAACAAGCCCACTGTACTGACAGACTACAACCTGTGTGCATCAATCACAACCTTTGACAGCGTCGCTGCCCCGCTTATCAGTCATAGCCCTCCCCCGGTCAGCATTCCCATACCCTCTACCTACCCTTCCCTTCCCTGACTCTCTGACAATCTGGCATAACAATGGTGGAAAACGGTCTATGAGCAGAATACAAAGCATCTGCAATTGTCGGTGACGCTGTCCGCCCACCCCCTTAGAGCTTAGATCCTTAGAGCAGTGTTAGGATGGGCTCTGTGGGGTTTTTTGCTTTGAGTGTGCTCCACTTTATCCCACTGTTCCATTTCACTCAAAGCGTTGTGTTGCACTGCCACACGTTCCGTGTAGTGCAACATTTCCGCTGAAAGAAAATATTTTCGTAAATTCTTTCCCCTTTTTTCCCCTTTTGTTTTTTGTTGCAAGAGTTGTTGGCCAACGACAACTTGTTGGCCAATTGTTGTGGTTAGACTTTGAGATGGTTGTGCCCTAGGGGGGCAGGGGAAGTGTAGGACCACTTGATGGCTCAGTCAACCGTTTAGTTGGTACGTTTTTTTTTCTTTCCTTTTCTTTTCTTTTTCGGGGACCTCTTGGGGGTCCCGGGAGTTCGTTAGAGTGTCGCATGCTGTGCATAATTATGGCTTAATTTGCAGCCTGAAGTATGCCCAACTAATTACAACAGTCTCCCACCTCTGCTCGTGCTTTTCGGCTAAGAGCATATGGCAATTAAAAACTTTTTATGCAAGACATTTTTTACGTTTACACTCAGCTGCGATTTTCCAAGGTGAATGGCATTGCAAAAGTGTGGGCGGAGAAATCATCTTTGCCCCATCCTCCCTTTAGCTGTCGCGCTTCATAATTGAAAATCACTTGGAGCGTTAAGTGGGGAAAACAGTTTTCCCAGCCAGAGAAAAAAAGCCACGAGAGAGGAGGAGCAAGTTTGAATAAACTATTTAGAAGTGATTTACCAGGCGAGGAAACTGCTGCGGAAAAAGAGTCTCCACCGAATATGTTTATTTCAAAACTATATAAATATACAAGATATATTTTCAATATTATTGGGACAGTTTAAAGTCAAAATTTGGCTGCATTAAAGGACCTATTAAATCGATGACACAACTTAAATATTATTTCTGTTTAATTGCTTATAAACATTGCTGTTTATCCAAGTGTTTTCCCGCACACATTCACAAGAGGTTAGATAGTTTTCCAGGGGGCGTGAAAAGGGAGGTGGGGGAGTGTGGTTGTCACTGACACCCAACATCCGCTTTTAGCATTTCCCCTGATGCAGCGAGGCACTGAGGAAGTCTGTTGAGAGGAAGAGGAAAGCCAGAAGAGCAAGAATTGCCATGCCACAAAACAAAACAAAAGCAAGAGTAACAAAACAGGAGGAAAGGGGTCTGGCAGTGGCACTGGTAGTGGCTGCTGCAAACAATTATTGTTATTTCAATTGAAATGCAACGTTCACCAAACCATCAGTGTCTGGCCCCCACATCCCAGCCCATTGAAGGGGCACATACACACCCTCTTAACAGTTCCCTGGCCTTTGTGAAATTGCTATCAAAATTATACACCTTGCAGCAGTAGCAGCAGCAGCACCAGAAGCAGCAGCAATGAATGGGGGGGAGGCACTACTGCGACGGGATGGGACGCCTGCCTGCCTGCCTGCCTGGCTGCCTGCCTGGCTGCAGTCACAGTTCATTGTAATGCAAATTACGTATACGCCATGGTGCAGCTGCAAAACTGGACTCAGATCCGGGACCAACAAATCCTCATACGTATACCAGCCGCCCGTTGCAGCTACTGGCTTTTAGCTGTTGGCTCCTGGTATTCTTGTTTATGAGACCATGTGTGTGGTGTTGTGTTGTGTGTGTGTGTGTGTGTGTGTGTGGCGCATATTTTGACCCTTTTTCATTGTCAGTGCTCGGGGGAAAAAAGTAATAATAATGAAAATATGAGGGGTTTTGCAACCTCCTCACATTCAAGAGGATTGTTAGGAAAATGCAATTAAAGCATTAAGCAGCGTGGAAAATAATTGCATTTGCATGTGTGCTTCAGTTGAAGAGTCCTGCTCCTTCCTCCCACACTCCTCCTACACACTACACAACGTTTCGCTTTCTGCTTATTGGCTTTTGGAGCTCCCTCTCTCTCGCTCTACATCAAAAGCTGCACACAAATTGGTCCACTTAATCACCCAAAATAAGTTTATCTCACCCCAAGCGAAAACTTTGCTGTGTGCTGTGTGTCCGGGGCCGAAGCGATGTCCTCTTGGCAGTGAAGGAAAGGAAATGCAACATTTTGCAGCAGGAAATGCACTCAAGTAACTTTTGCCGTCCCTTTTGCCTTAACCCTGATCGCTCTATCTCCGCTCTCCGCTCTCTGCTCTCCGCTTTCTATCTGTATATCTGTATTTGTGTATCTGTATCTCAGTGTCAATGCAAGGGCCCGGAAGTTGTCGCATTTAAATGGGAAAACTTTAACATAGAAAATGGGATACACAATCCGTTTGGAAATGGCAACACAGCAAATGGTATGTGTTAACAGCTGATAAGAGCAGCACAAAATGGTGCCAGCAGTGCTTAGCAGTGCACTGTGGGAGCAGGCAGAAGGGAGAAGGGAGGCGGGTGAGGGGAAAGGAAGTGTTGGGGATATAAAGAGTAGTCAATGACCAGTCCTTGGACCGCAGACGGGAAACGGAAACCGCATCCACAACGCCAACGTTGTCATTGCCATCATCATCATTGGCATTGGCATCGGCATCGGCATCGGAATCATCGACATTTGAGAGGCTTTTACTCTGTCAGTAGCCTCGGGAGGTAAGCCTCCCCACACACACACACATACAGACAGACACACACACAGACACACAGTCATATGAAAATACCTATGAGGGAAACAGTTGAGAACGCTGACAGCCGCTAGCTATGCCTCTGCGCTTTTCCGCTTTTCCAACTCTTTTCACATTCACCGCAAGCCGCCGCAAACGGCACGGCCGCCGCCTTTGAGTCGCCCATCCAAGGAGAGTGTATTTTCAGTTTATTGCAATTTTTGACGGGTACCTGCGGATATCCTGACGCATGCACTGGCATCTCTTTTATTTTTTAAAGAAAATTGCGAACACTATGAAACAGTTCTTGCGTTGATAATCCTCTTAATGTGAGCATATCTCTTTATCTTTATATTTAAAAATGTTTTCTCTTATTTACGAATTCTTTCCGATGGGATCTGCACCGCTCGAGAAAACTTTTTTGCTGAAAGCTTCGCCTCAAATGCATATTTTTCCGGCCATGTCCATGTCCATGTCCTGTGCGTCTCTTTGTTATCTCAATAAAATGAGTTTGCAACTGCAACTCCATCTGCTGTTAGAGCGTATCTCTCCTGCTGGGGCTACGTGTTTAACCAACATTTTCCCCCGGAATGAAACTTTTTACTTTGGCATTTTACATTTCAGCAGTTCTTTTTTTTTGCATTTTCGGTTCGTTGGTTTTTCGTTGGTACTCAACGGCAATGGCCGTGTGGCAGTGCCAACAGCAACAGCAATGGAAAACGGCTGTGGCAGTGGCATCAACAGTAAACCGAAAACACCAAAAAAAAAAAAAGAAAAAAATATTCGCTCTGAATATTTAATTGTGCGCGTTCCATGCATTTATCTCGTGTGTGGCACTGCCACTGCGTGCCCCAGCCACATATGTAGATACACACACACACACACGTATGTGTGTGGGAGTGGGAGGCAGGGGCGTGGCTTTT